GAATGATTGATTTTCTTATTTACGTTAGTAATAAGTTATTGACACATTAACCGGTCAAATTTCCAATATCCAGTGATGGGTTGCCGGAATTTTATCCCTCTGGAATTTTACCCCCTGAGCAAAGCTGACGTCACTATGACGTAGTAACCTGAGTGGCCAAAAGTTTGTTCGCGGCCGGAATTTTACCCCCGCGGATTTGGAAGTCTAATGAAAATAGCCAGAGCGTGATAAATAATTAGATTAGCGATAAAACCCGGAATTTTATCCCCTGTCCATATAACTAGTGTATAGACCACTGAAGATGTACGGGCCGGATTATTATACCCCCGGATTTTTACCCCCGGAATTTTACCCCCAGACTTTTACCCCCTGGCCGATTTTAGAAATAGAATGATTGATTTTCTTATTTACGTTAGTAATAAGTTATTGACACATTAACCGGTCAAATTTCCAATATCCAGTGATGGGTTGCCGGAATTTTATCCCTCTGGAATTTTACCCCCTGAGCAAAGCTGACGTCACTATGACGTAGTAACCTGAGTGGCCAAAAGTTTGTTCGCGGCCGGAATTTTACCCCCGCGGATTTGGAAGTCTAATGAAAATAGCCAGAGCGTGATAAATAATTAGATTAGCGATAAAAACCGGAATTTTATCCCCTGTCCATATAACTAGTGTATAGACCACTGAAGATGTACGGGCCGGATTATTATACCCCCGGATTTTTACCCCCGGAATTTTACCCCCAGACTTTTACCCCCTGGCCGATTTTAGAAATAGAATGATTGATTTCCTTATTTACGTTTTAAAATAATTGTAAACATTTCATTATTTAGTAGCCTATCTTTATTTATTTGTTTTTTAATCTCAACTAAGTAAACAGAATTCGCTGTTTTATTTTGATCATATTAACCAACAGTTGGCTTCAAAGATCGAATCATCATACTCGAATCTCAAAATTAAAATTAAAAACCTGTTCGATTAGTTAATGTTACAAATAAATTAAGATAGGCTACAGTACTTAATAATAAAATATTTACTATTTAATTAAAACTGAATGAATATTATTACTCATTCTCACTAATTTATATATCTGGCCAGGGGGTAAAATTCCGGGGGTAAAAATCCGGGCCGTACATTCTAGGTTTTTATAATTTGATGTGTTCTGATTAAATTCACAGCCGTGAAAATATATGTTTAATTCCGCGTTTAATCCATCGAGCTGATGTCGCGAAACTCAAAAGTTCGCGGCCGGAATTTTACCCCCTGGTTTGTGACGTCACGTTTGCCCAGGGGGTAAAATTCCAGGGGGATAAAAATCCGCTACCCCCCAGTGATTATTAAAGTGATATATTAAGTGATTTTTTACGCTTTTCACGTCGATTTTCAATTGCGTTTTTTTGGGCGAAATAAGCTAGACGTTTGCCGAAAAAGTGGAAGAGGAAAAATGTGTTCAAAATGGCCTAAATAATGAGAAAAATACTTTTTACCTAAAGTAAAAAAAGTTTTTCAAAGCACCTAAAATTGCAGATTTTTTGCATTTTTCTCAATTTTCAAACGCGATTTTCAGGGTGAAATAAGTTAGGCGTTTCTCCCAAAAGGGCCAAAGCTAAAAAGTGCTAAAATAGTCTAATTTTGGTAGGTAAGAAAAAAATGTCGTATAACATAAGTAGTATAAGTATTAAATTATAAATATCAGTATTGCCATAGATAAAACATACCTAATAAATTAATGTCGACTAGATTACCAGAGGATCTGATGTGCCGTTGGTGGTGGGGGAGGGGAGTTAAAGGGATGTTTGCTCAGAGTTATTTAAAATTCAAACATTTCCACGACGAACCCTCCCCTCTAATTATAGTCGTGTAATATGTATGCATTGTATGGTGTTGTTGCATTTCACTTCGCTGTCACTTAAGGATATTTTTTTTAATTAAAAAAAGATTTTGTCTTTAGATACAGCCATTGAAGGGCATTGGTAAGAGCAAGAGATAAAGCAAAATTTCCAGTGATTAAGAAAATACTTCTAACCTTAGTCAATGCTTAATCGCCCCCAAGCAGAAGAGTCACCTGAACCATAGATAAAAGATTAAAAGGAGTAGACGAAAGGATAAAAGGAGTAGTATTGTCTACTCCTTTTATCTATGCCTGAACCAAGCATTTAATGAAAATCCGTTCAATTATAATCGCCAAAAAAACCCACTTTTAGTATCAAAAAAATTCTCACCAATAGACATTTATGTAAAAAACAAAAACAATGTCAATGTCACAAAAGAGAAATGTCAATGATATTATCATATTATTCCTCTCTTTTGAAAAGGAACATGATTTTTGATGGACAATCACAGACAGAGAACGTCGTGGCCTCATGGATAAAATTACCCGTCCTTAGGTAGCGGGAAAAAATATTGGCGCCATTCGTGGTTCACGCGATTTGTGTTTTCTCGTTTTAGCGAATTTCCCATATAGGGAATAAGCTATTACCGTAGTACTCATGGTAAGACCTGGACGCGGGACCGATTTTTTTTTTCGTTTTGAGGTCCCTAGAGGCCAAAAACACCATCCGTTCAAATTCATATATATATATATATATATATATATATATATATATATATGTGTCCGTCAGCACGATAACTCAAGCAAAAATGATCCGATTTTGATGAAATTTGGTACAAACGTGTAAACCTACGTTTATTCGAACGAGTTCGCGATCCAGCATGATCGGACCATGTGAACGGGTGTTTACGGGGGGTTTTATGGGGTAAAAATAGGTTTTTCCCATTTTTGACCCAAAAAACTTAAAATTTTGCAATTTATTACCAAACCATTTTGTAGAGCTTAAAAAAACAAATAATTTAGTATATTGAAGCGTTATTATGCGCCTAACGGTTACGGAGAAAATTCCAAAAAATTGTAAATTTCAAATTCCCATGTTATTCTTATGGAGAATAAGTAAACTGTTGTAGTTTGCTTGTTTATGAACATATTTTGATCACATTTGGAAAATGTTTTTATTTCTTACTAACTATTAACATTTTACAAAAAAAAAACAATTTTACCCTCCCTGATGCAGCAAACCTAAGTACGTGTTAAACTAATTCTATTTAAATCCGGAATAAATGTTATATTTTTAAGTAGACATTTCAGTGTAAATCCAATCAGTCAAATGGAAATTCGCTTAGTCTGCAGGTTTGCTGCGGCGGGGGTATTCTGATTTGTTCAATATTCGTTCTTGTTTTTGAATGTTGTTGTTTGTTGTTGTGTTTGTGTCTCTCTTGTGTCTGCTGTACTGTGTGCGCTTGTTGAATGCGTAGTTCGTTTTAGTTTTGTTGTTCTGTATTTCGTTATTGTCCTGAAAAACGAGTTATTAACCTACATTTTGTGAACATCATGATGTATGATTTTGATTTTGTTTACAGGCATGTGATACTTAATACCTATGTTAAATTACGAGCATTAGACTTCTCGGGAAAATCCGTTATGTGCCCACATTCCACATTCCTACAACTCTTTTTTTTACAATTACACTTTTAAACGTTCGAGAAGTTTGGTTGGATAGGTTAGGTTCATCGGACGATGTACATCGATGGTTAGGTTAGTGTAAATGTAACCTAACCTAAGCTTAACCAACTAAACCGAACAGCCATTTTCAGGTATTTACGACGGCATGTAAGCGTAATTGTAAAAAAATAGATTTGTGGGCACATAACAGATTTTGACCGGCTTCTCAAAACAATATTTAAAGGTTCTTTGATTACGTTGTGCCTAATTAATTGTTTTGTACTCTTGTTCTTCTCTAGAAAGTGTTAACTAGGCCTAGGCCTAGAAGTGAGGATAGGGCCTAAGTAATTGGCTAATTTTATTCCAAAATAGGCAACCTACGGTTTTGAGTTCAATGACACCAAAAAGTAAAAAATGGGATTGTCTTAAGATACCGTGTCGTTAAGAGGCCTATGTTGGCGAATTTTGTTACCTATAGGCCTAGACCTATCCGACTCCTTCAAATTATCGAACAATAAAAGTATCTAAGTTATATTCAATGGATAACCAAACTTAATTAGCCTAACAATTCATTATTCATTGGCCTTCGTCGTTGACCCTCTGGTGAGGGAATAGAATAAATAAATACTACAATAAAACTAAAACTTTCTTTACCTAAGTTATCGATTGTAAGTTAACTTAACAATCTCTTTTTTCTTAGTGTTGACACCAGTCATATACGGTGTATACACAAGTTAAGTTAGGTACTTGAAAGTTTCCTTGAATAGTTAAGTTACACAGGAGAACCACTCTAATTTAAACGTGTTTAGGGAAAGCCGTCCAAACCCAGCCGTCCAAACCCATAAGTAACTTACTTAAGTTAAGTGTTGTGGATGTGACAGGGAATTGAACCCGCCCCCCTCGCACCAAGGTCCGAAATAATAATAATGTGTATTTTTTTTAGCAAGCGTTTTTCAGATACATTTCTGCTTTTCAAAACAACTCTTGTCCTTAATACTAATAAACTATTCATAAAAACTAACTATATATAACTAATCGTATCTATATCGTAGCTATATATAACTAATATATAACTATATATAACTAACTAAATATTAACCACTAGGCTAGTAGCAACACAATTGATGATGAAGATGCAATCAGAAATCTAAGATTTTCTTATATATTTATACAGGACAACTAACTAGGTCTAAGCTTAACTTACTCCTATTAAAACAGAGGTTAGACCTCATCTTAAGTTACACTTGGGCGGTATTCTTCCCATAGTATCAAAGTATCTTTAGGACCCTTAGTCCTAAATAAGTTAACTTACTAATTCCACATAAGTTATCTAACTTAACATTTAATTGTAACAAACTATATTTAAGTTAAGTTACTACCAGTTTACAAAGTCAAATCCTACAAGCCTATCCTGATGTCAGTATTGTCAGTGCCTTTATCTAGACCTAGATAAAAATTTAAGTAAGTCAATCCGCCCAATCTTACAACAATCCATATTTTTCAGCCACTCCAATAGAACAGAATGTTCCTTTTCAACCTCCAATGGGCTATCAGCTCGCAAGAGATCCAGTGTCAGGCCAGCTGTTGCTTATTTCAACTGGTGCTAATATTGGTAAGTCCAATTGTCACTTATTCTGACTCTTACAAACCTAGTGAAATGAAGTTGCCTTGTCCACTTGCAACAATATCCAGAAGCACATTAATTGATAATGTTGATAAAAGTGTGCTATACTTCCAAATATAGTTCTTGCTTGTAGCCAAGCTCACTCTACTAGACAAGTAAAGATAGACCATGTATGAGGAATGGTTAAATTAATAAGTTAAAAAATTAGTAATTAGTAGTACCTAATTAGTAATTAGTAATTAGTAGTAATTAGTAAATTAAAAAATGTCAATGTATGTACAATGTAAAATGGTGTTTACCGTATATGGATAAATAAATAAATAAGTGTGAATAAGGGGGGATTTTGATGAGAGGAACTTCTTCTTACGGTGAAATGTTGGTATAGGCCATACCCAACGGTCAATAATCTAGAAACTGGACTAGGGTTGAAGGATCCACCAGTGGCACGATTAGGGGGACAGGGGGCAAGTTGGATTGTAGCATAAAGCTAGGGTTTCCAAGATCACGCCGGATGGACAGCGTGAGTGGACAAGCGTGATTATGTAATCAAGTTTAAATTAAAGCCGTGCTTTTATATGGGTGCGGTTTCCAAGCGCGAGCGATCACGCCGGACATGAGTTTTCCCGCCATCTGTCCGGTGTGAGTCCAGATCGTGGCACGCCGGAAATGACCCAAGTCATTTCTGGCGTGCATGCCGAGCGGACAAGTTGTTTTGAACTACTCTTTTTTAAATTGTGCCTAGGGCGTGTTAAAATTTGTGCCTAGAGAGTGTCAATTGTCAGTATGGAGTCAAAAGTATTTTCATTGGAAAAAGATTGAGAAACTTATTGATTTAGTTCGTAGTTTTCCGGTGCTATATGGCATGAGTAGGAATAACTACAAGGACAATATAGACAATATGGAAGCAGCCCTCATATTTCCTTTTATCATACATCGAATGTGGTTCCATACGAACAAAACCTTCCAATAACATGGAGTCTTCCTCCTCCTCTTCTTCCAACAACAGAGCAACAGTTAGCATGTTGGTTAAAAACTGACAACTAGCTCATTCCCCAAGAGAAATAACCGCGTAATCCGCTTTCTTGCAAACCACCCTCACACCGAGCTTGATAGGATATACGCCGGACAAAAATTGGCGCCAACGGACATCACGCCGGACAGACCACGCTGGCGTGTTCTTGGAAACCCGAGCTTAAGGGTGAACTTCCCGGGTTGGTCTAGGGGGTTTGGAGTAAAGCGAGGGTTTTGGAAAATTTGAACTGAAAACTTGTGTTTCTAGACAATTTAGAGACAAAAACATGATTATACAGTGGAACCTTGATAAGGAGACCCTCGATACAAGCCACCCTTGATAACAAGTGTCATCTTCAAATCCCTTTAGATTTATTTTACACCTAATCTCAGGTTACGGTACTGCACTACAAACCTTGATAAGAAGTCAACCTTGATAACAAGTCTTATTTTACAATCCCCATGGGAGTCTTGTTATCAAGGTTCTACTGTGTTTTGCAATTTTAAACTACAGTATTTTAACTGGATTCATCTATCATCTATCAAAGTCGCGGGGGGGGGGGGGGTTGCCCCTTGCCCCCCCCCCCCCTTGGGTCGGCCCCACCAGTCCAGCAAAGGTTATGAATAGTCTGGGTATCAACAAGGAACAAGGAACCCAATACTGTGCTAAAAAAAGGCAAGGAGAAGGGTTTGATTAATAACTTCGAATAAGAAATGTAAATGACAATTTTAATCCATTTCAAGTCAAAAGAAATTAAACAAGAACATATCTTGGTTGGTGTTCGCAGACTAACAATAGTGTTTAAACAGTTGTTGATCGTTAAACGTGTGTTACCTACACAGAACATCTTGTGAGGTTTTGTCGGTTAACACTGTGCGTTGGCGAGCGAACACTTTCAATGCTTTCCACAGGAATTTTGATTTGTAGTGACTTTTTCGTGTGACTTGTGAAACTACAGTTAATTTATAAACACATTCTTCTCTCTTATAGGTAAATTTGATGTTAGTCGATGACAAATTCCTTTTACTTGATCTAATTTGAAAGGAACCATTCTAAATTAGCCTACATTATTTATTATGTAATTTTAACCTGCTCTGGAAAAGATGAATTATTTATTTATTTATTTATTCTTTCAACGGTAACACCATTTTACATTCGAATTTACATTAAATAGGATTAAATCACTTTATAAACATAGCATAATTAGGTAATAAATATTAGCAATAATAAGAATAAATTTGAAAGCAGACATGACATGCAAAAGACATAACCAGTATGAACAAAAAAAAACAAAAAATAGCCTACATTACATAGGCTGAATAATTTCAAGTGTAAGACATACATAAACATAGCAAATTAGGTATAGGCTACTAAAATACGTGCAATAAATAAGAATGAAAGTGAAAAGTAGGCATAAGATGCAAAAGACGTAACCAGCAAATAATATGGCGCATAAATAACAACAGCAGGTAAAATAAGAAAGTGCAAAAACATAACAACAACAATATTTAACAATATGCAACCGAGACATAACAACAACGAGAAAAAAAAGGAAACAACAAGTGCAATACCGGTAGGCTAACAAAAGTATAGTAAGATACAACAACAACGAAATAAATATATAATATATATATAAATGTAGAAAACAACAGCCATAAATTAATTTAACAATCGCAAACACAACAGGAAACTTATTAAGTTTGTTTATTTATTAAATAAACAAACAGGAAACACCGACTGGACACAGATGTGGCCCTTTAAAGGCACCACCATAGATATCTGAACTTTACTGAGGCCCTTAGGCAGCCACTAGCTTAAAAAGGCACTGGCACATCTTTTAAAAAGTGCTGAAGAAGTCCACATGAGCAGCCGCCACAGCGCCCTCACGCAGTAGCCAAGACAAGCCGCTGTTGTACGCATATGATGTGGGATGGAATCTGCGCTGGAAAATTGCTCTGGAGCGAGTGCCTCTCGGGACAATAAGGTCAATGTTGAAAAGCAGATCGGGGCTGTCCAGAAGTAAGACCATTAACCAGCTTGTACAGCACCACAAGATCAGCCAGTCTACGTCTTATGTGGAGAGGGTGGATACCAAAGATCCTCTGAAGTTCTTCAATTGGTACATCGGCATATGCATAATTAACCAATCCGGATACCCAATATCCGAATGAAGCGAGCTTGGATTCGAGACAGCAAATCAATATGACCCAGCTGATGAGGCGACCATACCACAGAGCCATACTCCAGTATAGGACGGACCAAGGTCTTGTACAGCAACCAGCAACACAAGTGACCTAGGATCTTGAAAGTTCCTAGTAGACCTGAAGACAAACCCCAGAAGTGCATGCGCCCTTGATGTGATGTGGCCAATGTGGTCAAAGGGGGTGAGTGAAGGCGTCAAGAATATTCCAAGGTCCTTCACTTTATCCATAGATGGAAGCTAAAGTGCTCCCATTGATGTAGTATTCCGACTTGAGGATGTTCAATCCTCTCTTGAAAGTCATAACTAAGTCCATGGAGTTGTTTTTGCACCACCCAACGACATTACCTATGGATCTCTGAAGGGTTTCTTGATCAGACTTACTCAGACTTAACCAGAATTACCAGTTAAGTTAATGTTTTTAAATAAAATAATCTAAACTAGATTTTGTTAAACTAAAACTGCTTTAACTTAGTTAAAAGGCTACCGGTAAGTTACCGAACTTCTGATAACAAAGCAAACCCAATTTAAACCCTAATTATTTTTCAATTTACTATTAGGCCTAGTTCCTATGCTAAGACAATTAAGCATTATGTTAAATGTGGTTCAATGGGACCTGTAAGACTACCCTCTCAATTCCTCCATATCAGCCATGAGGTTCCCAGACCTCCTGTCTAACTAGGCATTAAAAGCTTCTGTTCTAGGTACGAGAATCTCATAGGTACCTATTTAAAAGTTCCTATTTAGTTTGACTGACTACCTGTTTGATGTTTTAAATTAATTAGTTGATTTCAAACATTATTGTGTTATCCAACCAATTTCACTGATAGATTACAATTTTTCCCAGCGGATTCCCTGCAGCGCACCATTGTCTGGCCCAACAGCATGAACAACTTCCCCGCCTCTCCGCTGCTTCTCCCTCAACCACAGCCGATGGGCCATTTGCTGCTGGATAGGTTGGTAACCCTTGCTACTCCTACGCCGCCTCCACCTCCGTCCCATGACAAGAGGAGACCCCCCACCACGCCTCACAATCTGTTGAAAATAGAGGATCCTTCCATCACAGGTGAGTTTACATCAACAATCAAAGAAATTAGACAGGAAGGAGGTCTGAGAGATCAAAGGATCTGCACAGCAAAAGTGTGGCCTAGAACTTGCATCAAAATTACCAAAACTGACAACATATGTATGTGTTTTCTCCTATACAACTTGTAAGAAAGACTCACAAATCTTCAAAGCCTTACACATAGGCAAAACTTTCAATAAAATAATAAGTACCAGTAATGTTATCTATTTTTCATTCTACCTACTGTAATTTCAAATCTGGTATAACAATTTAAAAGCTTACATTTTTTAACCATGCTGGTTTAGGGATGTCACATTCATTGAGACAAGAGGGGGGCTTAGGGGAATTTACAGTTAAACCATGCTATAAAAAATATCATTTTATCTAGTCAAATTGGACATCCATTGGGGGGGGGGAGTGGCTATAGCACCTCTATGAACCCGCTGCATCATACTATGTAGTTATTTTTATAAATACTGTATAACTATACTGCACCAACTTTAAACATTGTGCTCAAAAAAGTTAATACAGTACAGTAATTGAAATCAAAGTAATCCTGAATCCTGGATAAGAATTCTCCCAGGTTTCAACACCTCTAAATAAAGTGCCAACAGTGTGAATAGGCCGACTGTATGGACAGAAACAAATTTAACTAAGCCTATACTGTATAACCTTACTGATGATAATAATTTCCAATAGTTAAAATATTTGATTGGGGTTCACCTTCATGGTACCAAAATTACACAATAATGTATAGGGTGGATAAAAAGTCCCTGGACCGTTAAATATTTAAAAAAATAATCAATATAGAGCTACAAAACTTAGTATAAAGTTATTGGGCATTTCAATTATTTTAACACATTCACAATATGTTACCTCCTCAGGGGGGACGGCACGTTAGGAGTCAGAAGAAAATGTAAGCATAGGTTGATATGTAGGCTACTTAAAGTTAAAGGTCTTTGAAAGTAAAAAACACAACGTCACATATCAACCTCCTAAATTTAAGATTTTCTTCTTATTCCTAGTCCTGACGAGGTAGTGTATCACTGAATAATTTTTTAAAATGATGATCGGTAACTTATACCAAGATTTTTAGCTCTCTCTTTATTATTTTTGGAAATATTCAACTTAACCGTGACTTTTTTCCACCCTTTACAAAACTAACTCATAGTAAACAATATCAAAGGTTCAGGATAATCAGTAGATTCATATAAAAAGCATAATAATATACATCTTTGACACCCATTCATCCAATGGATGAAAGTTGCATCCATAAATTGTTAGTAACCTTGACATTTTCACTGTAACCGTTGACTTTTACATCGTCGGACATTAAATTTCTTTAACCGTCAGATAAGTTATCGGAGTACTAGTTCCAAGGGTAGTGTTATATTTAGTATTATCAACTTGCAAAATTGTTTTTATTGTTCCATGTTGGTCTACTGTAAGGTACTTAGTGAGGAAATAGGCTATTAGTTTTATTAATATTAAGCCAAATTGTAGAGAATGTTAGTTGAAAACTAAGTCTTTGTTGATATTGTGTTCCCCCCATTTCAAATCAAAGATAAAATTTTCCCTTACTACTACCGTTCATCAAGTTTATGAATTATTCACATGCACACCACAGTATCCCAATTAAAAGTTTAATTTGATAAAATGTTTAATTTTTGGTATGCAGGACTTTTCCGCTATATTGGAAAAAAAAACCAAAAAATTGTAAAATCTTGCAAAAAAATTGTATTATTAACTAGCTGGCCCGTCAGCCGTCGTCCTGTCCTAATGTGGTTTTATGTCAAATGCTCATTCATTTTCAAGATGAGCTTGCATTATTTTATTAGAAATTCTATATTATTAATACGCTACATGTAACTTTGTAAACAATAAGGCTTTTTTGTTTAACCCCACATATTATATACAAAAATGTTCGTCTAGGTGTGTAGATTTGCAAACTGACCTTTTCATTTTTGAAAAAGTCCCTTGGTCCCGTTGGTGACAGCAAGTTAATAATATAGATGATAAAAGCTCATTTCATTGACAATATCAGCTGGTATATTTTTTTACATTGTAGTGTTCTTATCATTTGTCCCACATTGCAAATAGTTTTGTAATGATAAATTTTACTCATGTGATTGATAATATCAGCTGGTATATATTTTAGTCAGTTGCACAACCTGATAAAGGAAGTATAATCATCAGTGTGATGTAAGATTTTTTATACTAACTGCTGACTTCTGACTCATCTATTGTGAGTCATTGAGTCAGTTCCACCTCAGCTATCTGTCTCCCTTGGTATGGGACATAACAAATCAAGTCAGTAGCCGGGTTTATTTACACTTTCCTGTATATTACCATTAATGTCTTGTGATAGTGATGTAGTGTTGAGTGGTGGTGTATTTTTAGTATTCAGCTTGTGAAGTTTGTGAGTAAATAAATATATAAATTGAGAAATCACAACTTGGATATAAATTAATTGGAATAAACCAAATCATTAATGGGTTTGAAGATTTTGCAGAAATCAAATGTAGAGTATTATACTTTTATATAATTTGATTTAAATTTTTCTAATTAAATGTATAGTTATTGACATACATCACTATTTTCAACAGTGGTTTTATTATGCTAAGTACTTGGGATACAAATTTTTTTAGAAAAGAACAAGCAGTTAACAACAAACACATTTTTTAATTTTTGTAGTGGTGGGCGTAAACCAGAATATATCGGTTTAGTTCCAATACTTAAACCGGTTTAATTACTTGTCAATACTTATCATGGTTCCCTATTTTCTTCCAGCCAGGAAGAAGGAAACCAGTTGTCAGTCTTATCTGATGGTTTTGCCATTAATACAGTTTGAGTTCACAGATAACTATTCAGATCCGACCAAATACATACTCAGGATATAGCATTGTTGTCTTGTAGTGGAAACTCTGAGAACCACTCCAAGTTTTTAATGGTACTCAGGGCTTTTGACTTTTGTAGGCAATTTTGAAAACCATACCCAAGTATTTATTCAACAGGTATAACCAACTGACGACTACAGCGCAAAGAATCATTTAGCGCCAAATTTGTGAACTAAAGTCCATACTCAAGTATCATAGATCAATAAGTATGGAGTTGGATCGATACCTGGTATGTAAAGTATTCAACTGACAACATTGTTACTGGGAGTAGGTTTTTACACCAGTTGATGGTATTGCAGGTGTGATGCCATGCGCCAAGTCCAGTGTTGTGATACAACAGTTGTCCGCACACTCAGGACCTGCGCCCCTACTCAATCCTCAGTTCTCCGCCATCGCCAGCTCCGGCTCTGTGCTCATTCAACACATCTCCGGGTCCAACACTGTTCCTCCAGCCATCATACCACACCAGAACACAGGCTCCGTGAGTAACTTAACCTCTTAACTATAGAACTAGACATTCCTTTCTGTTGAATTCGTAGCTTTTCAGCATGAAAATGAACGTTATCCTCTACTACAGTCACATACTGTAGATTTGTAGTCTTCGGGCAGTGACCTGTATCTTAAGTCGTAACACTATTAACCAATGTTTCAGTCTTGATGTAGACTGCTCATACGTCTGCTTGACTTGGGACCAGTTATCGTATAGTCGAGATCATATAAGTGACTCAATGTCAAAACATGAATATTATAATATATAACATAATTGGTGAACAAAGTGATTCATCGATTTTGACATGGTTGTCGCCCCAAGACTATGAATCATGAAGAATGAACATATTTAAACTGAGTTGCCAGCAGAGTGTGCTTATGTCAATTACAGTTGAACCTCTATAAATCTATAATACAAATTTCAAGGGGCAGGAGAAAAATTTGTACTATAGAGGTATTCTTAAGGCGGTGACACACTATCGATCTTTTCCCCGATCAAGACCCCGAACCGAGCAGGGAGAAGGGAGAAGGGAGGTAAAAATCTGCAAATTTTCAATCCGAACATTTCCCCGAACAAGACCAAGACCAGACAAGTTCTACCGAGCGCGAAAAAGGGAGTTTAGAGAGAGATGGAGAGCGTGTGTGAGTGAGAGCGCAGAGGCAGTAATACTAAAACAGTAATAAAACATGAAATAACATGTTACAGAATAATAATTTTGATTGCCTTTAATAATATTTATGTTTATATTAATTTTGAAAGAATTAAAGTATACCATCAATTACTAAATTCAAGTTAAACATCATTGGTATCATTGATTTAACGGTTTCAACTTGTAAAATACATTTTCAACCTTGACCAAACAAACAACAAAATTACAACATAAATGCCCATAATATATAACGGCAAAAAATTACCCAACATTTATTTATTTTAGCAATTAAAGAGTTTAAATTACATATTAAATTAGAACTATCAACGCTAGCGCAGGCGGCCGCTCGGTGCGGCGCTCGCGACGATGTACGGGGCAAAACATATACCGTGACACACTATCGTACATCACTCCGTACATATCGGACCGATCTTTTCTTTGATCTTTCGCCAAAAAACCGCCTCCAGAGCGCTCGTCTCCCTGCTCGGCCTGATGTCTGGTTCGCCGTCTGGATCGGTGTACGGACCCGTGACACACTATCGAACATGCTCCCTTCGACCTCCCTTCTCCCTTCTCCCTGCTCGGTTCGGGGTCTTGTTCGGGGAAAAGATCGATAGTGTGTCACCGTCTTTAGACTAAGGAAGGAAGAGGGATGGGTATTGGTTTCATGTTGAGACAAGCTTCTGTTTGTTTTTTAAACTACGTACTACGGAGGTTATGACCATGAGAAATTCGTCTTATAGAGGTTGCATTCGTCTTGTAGAGGTTTTGTGCTAAGAATATTTGTTGTATTATTGACCTGTATTAGAGGTTAAGAGTCCTTGGAGGCTAGCGGCCATCTTGGATAGTTTCAAATAGCTGCTGAAGAGTTATTTATCGTTCAAAAATATTTTTGAAACACCAAAGTGGTTATATTTTAAATATCTAGTTTACTGTGAGATTAGAAATATTCTTTGTAGTTTTTAATTCTTCTTCAAGGGAGTCCATGGAAGCTAACAGCCATCTTGGATTTGTCCGCCAAAAGAGCAATGTCAATTTCAAACAGCCGCTGAAGAGTTATTTACCGTCCAAAAATATTTTTTCAAACACCAGAGTGATTGTAATTTAAATACTGTATCTAGTATAGGCCTACTGTGAGATTAGAAATTTTCTTTATAGTTCTTTCATTGTTTTATGAGTTAGAACGTCTAGGCTCCAAGGACTCTTAATCAGTCCTAGCCCATGTCACAAACAAATTTCTACTACTTTCTATAGAGGTGTTTTTAGCATTGACCTTTATGAAAGTTTCAAAGAGATTAAAAAAAAACCGTCTTATCAAGGAATTTGTTTTATCGAGGTTCGTACTAACGAGGTTCAACTGCACTGATTTCTTTTGTCTAATTCACCAATATTTTAGCCAAAATCCAAACTGGAAGGATAACTGATTTGTTATGTTACATTATCCATCACCAAAAACACAAACAAAAACTTGGGGATAAAATATATTGCTGGAATATCTAAAGTATACACAAATCAATATTCTAACTTTTATATAAACATGGATAGTGTTTATGAACCCAGAAGCTGACATTCCAGAAACAACATACATTCGTAACAACATTCTGTTCTTCATAACATTCTTTCGACATTCTCTTCCTTAAAATTTGTTAAGTGGTTGATTCAGAAACTTGAACTAAAAAAACCCTTTCACGTTTTAATATATAAGATTAAGATTTTAAGATTGTAGACAATCAACGCTAATACAAAAGTGACTTTACATAGGAAGTAAAAGGAAAAGTATTAATACAAAATTTGTAATATCATCAAACTAAAATGTCTTTACAGGTTGAAAAATGTATTGTAGCTTCACTATCCGTATAGTGAAGAAATCACTTATTGTTTGCGGTAAAAAAAAAAACTCATAAACCATCTATAGATTTCCAGGGCTTACATAGAGTCGAGGAGGACATGGTAAGTCAAAAACAATATCACTAGGGGACAGAAGAAACAAAACACGATACAAACCATCCAAGCATGACAACTTTGTGTCTAGTCTCCGTCTAACCAGCCTTACCTGTTGACATGTGTAACATTGTGGTCCTGTTGTGCTGTTCAAATATTTAATATCTTTTGGTTTATCTGTTGATTGAAGATGGCACAACATAAGCATATATTTATACAGAGTATTCAGTCAGTTGGTAGTATCATTTGATAGTTCTAGTGTGAAGTTAGTACCACAGTATGATTCTAAATAACTAGTCAGTAAGTTTCTTAAAGAAGAATATTCATCACAATAACACCGGGTGGAACGGTGTTTTTACATTGTTGGAAAAACACAATAAGATACCCAACACATATCTTAGCAGATTAAAAAAAAATTATTTCTGCTATTAAAACTTTCTCGCAGCCCACATGCCTGGCTGTATTTAACCTATTGAAAATGGGTTCTTTCAAGATTTAATTAGTTTTCTCACTAGTCACTACAGTGACGAATGAATGGTGTGGTATATCACTGATGTATCGCAAGATGCACAGGTTGCTACTCAAAACATTTTCGCAACTATTATAACATAATTTTTTAAGCTGCCTACCAAAACTGTTTACTGAAATATATAATTTATGACTGAATACATATGTTGTGACAAAAGAGGAAATATTTCTTAATTTAGAGCTACAATAATGAGTTCTAAAGCTATATGCAACTTTAAGTCATTAGACAATGACTGTACGTAACTAGCTGTAATGTGGCGAATAGCTATAATTAATGACAGTTCAATTATTAATATTATTCATAAAAATTACCAGATGTGGTTTCAAACATAAATGAACAGTTTTGTTCGCCAATTCTTCTCGTAACTTTAAATCATATGTTTACGTGTGTGTATGTTTATGTTTGCTCATCTTCATGCAAACAGTTATTCTAAAAGAATATTTTATATGTAAAATCATTCATTTGAATAATATAAATTATAAGCAACTATCTTCATTTGCTTTTGAATTCATATGCCGCATTTGGCCAATTGTTGGTTATAGTCACTACAAGGATCGTCAGTTTGTACCATTGCACCGTGTCAACACTAAGGCAGGTTCAGACAGGCCGGTATGTAGCATGCAGTCCTTGCCTTGTACTGAGGGAGGGAAGTGAAGATGTTGTGGGTTGCAGGTGCTGATCAGTGCTCAGCAGTTGACTACGGAGGCTCAGAGTCTCATCAGCGGACACCAGACCATCCCTGGCGGCCAGCCTCAAGTGGTCATCAGTCACAGCCAGCAGGATCAGGTAAAACCCTTTGGCTCTACAAACCTGCATACTAAGCGAATATCAATTTGCCTAAATTGATTTTAAATTAAATCTAGTCCTGGGGGACCGAGCCTTGCTCGGTTTGATCAGACTCATTTTATTATTTACATAATCAATTTTATTACAAACCAAAAACATTTAATCACTGAAATAATATCAACCGCGTAATGTGTGTCTAATTACACCCGTTTCATAGATCTTGGCATTTTGATTATTTACAGTACCGCGATTTGAGTAATAACATTTAGTTTTAATATTAACCACTGACATTACTGTACACTCATGAAAACTGAAAGCTCATAGTTTTTTGACGTTTTGAATTTATAATGGGCAGCAATAATGAAATGCTACAGGGAGTAGAGGCCATGAAAACTTGATTAGGTTATGAACCAAGAAATATTTATGAATATTCATTACAGTATAATCTTGATTATCCGATCCCTTGGTTATCCAACCCTCCCGGTAGTTATGTATTGTTAAGTCACATTCTATATCATTGTGGTATAACTTAAAACACTCAACAGGTACTCGCACCAAACCTGTAGCCATCTCTAACTTTAACACCTGCATATCACAGTATTTTTTGTTCAAGCCACTGCATACTCTACAGTTCGTAAACTCCTCGCTTTATGTGAAGCATAATTGTACAGTTGGTATTTTACTTTGTCCGTTATGTTTTACGTTACGAAAAGGGCATGGTTCCAATGAAAGACAAGCTTTAAAGCCTTGAATAGGTTTGACATCAGGGTATATTTATAAATTTAGTGATTTGTATTATTTTCTATCCGACCTTTAAACTTATCTAACCTTGTCACAAAAAGGTTTACTCTACTGTGCCAATCAATGTGAATGTATTTGCTGAAGTTGTTTGGTAGGTTGAATTATCTAGATATCCAGCTAATAGTAACTGTATTGTTTGTAGTCGTCTGCCACAGTGATCAACCCCCATGTAATTGGACAGTTGTCATCAGACCTTCTCACCTCACATGGACATCCACAACAGCTGCCGTTGGTCATCACGGCTCCTCCGCAGACAGATGCGCAGATACACGTACAGATCAAGGTATGTTACTTAGAGAGCTTTGTGTTACTGTCTTTTCTCTTTATAACTTATTGCTCGTATTGAAAAGAATGCTGATTGTTGAACATTGTTGGTATTAATGTTATATTTACCTCTGTTTCCAGGAATCACCAAAGGAAATCGTGGAAGACCTCCCAGAAACAGCTGACAACCTTGAAGAGAAGATAGAGTCTGTTAATTGTTGTAGATCACAGGTAAAACTAAGTTGAATTTTGTTGTCAGATTTGTGAAATGAAACGTCTAAGATTACCTTTGTTGGAGTAAGGGAAGTGAGAACACTGACGTAGTGACGTGTGTGTTTCAGGTTTACTTACAATTTCAGCTAGTAGTTAAAGTTAGCACACACACCATAGAACAGAAAGACACATACTCTAGAGTAACATATTGTTACCAGAAACCGTAAAAAGAAAACACAACAAACAGTAATAAGAATAAGAAAGTTTATTGCCATTGACCAAGTTGTACATAGGAATAGGCATTGTCAAATTACATTAAATAAAATATTACTAAACATGTTCATATCTATAGGTAACAAAGATTGAGAATAACGATTGAGAGTTCTTGATTTACAGTATGAATGATTCGGCTTTAATTTTATAATTCATGAAGTCCTTAACTGAGTAAAACAGGTTAGCTACGAGCCAGTTATGAATTTTTGACTTAAAAAGAGGAAGAGAAAGGCTGTCTGCCTGAAGAGGCTCAGGCAGCTTATTATAAAATTTCACACAATTAAGTTTGAAAGAATTACCTGTGATGGCCAGCCTGTGATGTGGTATATCCAGTTGTTCCTTATTTCGTGTATGGTGGAAATGGTAATGATCAACCTCGATAATTATTTTCATGTTTTCACATATATACATTTATTAACATATATTTTCACAACAAGGATATACATTTGAATTACTAACTCTAACACAGATTAAATAAACATAAAAACCCAAACTGCATAGTTACAATTGATTGTTGTCTATTCATATCATTCCTATGTGAAGTTAACACTTCACTTTGTTTACTAGAGTATGTTCTCTGGTTATGAATCTCTTATGTATGCATTACACATGGTATCTCTTGTAATCAGGCCACATCACCTGTACCATGTCTGAGCCCCGGAGTAGGAGCTGGGGACAGTCAGCAGTCTCAGTCAGAAGATGAATTGGCCCCGCCTCAACAAGCAGATGCCAGCAACCAGACAGACAGTCTGCCTCCTAGCAGTGATGAGGAGGTATAGTAAACAACCCTCCATGTCTTTGGTAATCCATCTATTTACAGTAAAACTCCAACCATAACCTCAAGGGAGAGAAGTAATTTGGCCAGAATAACTTAGTTCATTGCAGTTATTTGCACTTTGCAGTAAACTGTTAGATACGGTACTTAAATATGTTCCTATGAGTAATTTGCTTAGTGCTACTCTCTTATAGACTTTTCTTGACAAATTCAACCATCCACATTTAAGGTTTAATCTCAAGTGATTCAGATAACTTGAGTTCTACTTTACCCTTTATGGGTGATTCACACAAACGTGAACAATGTAGTTTTACATGTTAAATTTCATCGCCACTTTGACATTTTGTTTTTTTTTTTTCAAATTCATCCTGAAGCATTTCATCTCACATTTACTGAATCAAGTCTATGCAAACCTGTTTGAAGGTAGCCTACTGACAAATTACTCCCCTCAATCAAATCAAAAGATTTTAAAATTAATTGTTAAGCTACATATAGTTTAAAATTTATCTTTCTTAAGTTTGATTTAATTTATTTATGCTTTTTGTTTGACAGATTGAGGAACCTCCCACTGTATGTGAAGTCGCGCAGAACACAGAGAGTGAAGCAGATATCTCTGTATCAGCAGAATCCACGGAGAAGACTGGCACAGCAGCAGTCGACCTCAGCGGACTTGAATTACTGAGTGCTGCTAGCATGGAGCAGTTCCAACGGTAAACTGAACAATAACTTGAAGTATAATGTGATAACCAGTGCTCAATTTGTAAAAAATTAGGTGCCGGAACTATAACCTATTTAATGTGATTAGTACCTATTTATGTACCTATGCATGCCAATATTTTTATCTTTCTCCATTCTGCCGTGTTTCCCCGCAAATCAAGTAATGGTAATAACTAAGCAGTAAACTCAAATTGTTGAATCTGGTCTCATATCTTTACCGGTCTGCACTAGCAATGAGGTTAAAATTAAAATTGGATATCGTCATTGTTGACTAGATAACTATTTTATACTATGTATTTTTACTATTAAGCTTCGACCTTTGTGTATTAACTCAGAAAATTGTTGGAATTGGAACTCTCATTTTTTTAACAACCTCTACTTGCTCTGACCATAGACTTCTGATCTGTGTGCTGATCTAAACATCAGTTACATGATCAAGTCAGTGGTGGCTGGCCTCGAATTAACAAAGTCTTGCTTAACAACCCAAGACAGTACCACTGACCTGCCATGTTTGGTTAAGTGTTATATGTATTCCTTTTCAGCTTGTTTATATATTCTTGCCAAAAAATGATGTATAGAGTTTTATAATTGGCCTAGATGATTCATTATCATATATTACAATAAATTTACAAATGATGATTTTCACTGACTGAAAGTTGTAAAAAGCTTTATAATAAACACTATTTGAGTGATGACTGGATGAGTGGTATCAATTCGGTTAAATTAATATGTGTATAGTTTTATATTTGGATAACCAAGCAATGATTCAAGCTCTCTTAGACACTTGTGCCAACATGATAAACACGATTTAATACTCAAGACCAAGAGAAACATGCATTTCAATTTTCAGATCACACAGTGCTCCTCTTGCCGACACTATGAAGATCAAAACAGAAATTGAAGAGCCAGAAGAAACAATGGCACTAACAACGGACGTTGTGATAAAGAAGGAAGTGGAAACAGAAGAACCTTTAGTGAAAGAAGAAACAGTTGTAGAAGAAAAGGAAGTGAATGATAGTGTGACAGAACCAGCAGCGATTGATAGAGAAGATGCGTCTTCTGTACAAGGAAACGAGAGAGTGGACGGAGGTATCATGGGGGGCCTAGGGCTGCTGTGTGACGTCGTCCATAGAGTGATTGAAGAAGAAGAAGCAGCAAACTCACGTCCACATTCTCCCTACGAAGATGTTGATCAAGACAATAAATCAACAGGTTTGTCTGATTTCACTTTATGGCCACTGACTCCTCAACTGTATAAAATACTACTTCTTATCTAGATATGTTTTGATCCATCTTGTTATGGTAAAATTTACTGAGAAATACAGGCCTTTTTAAAATTTGAGGTACCGGTATCTAACTTAAGGAAATTAAAATATTTTCTATACAAGTTGAAACAAGGTATTATATGGCACGCTTAAATTGTTAACCATTTTTATTTTTTATTTAGACTATTTGTTATTTTTTTGAAATTTTGTTGTTAGATACAACACAGAATTTGTTGTTGGTAATTAACAGTTGTTTTGAGTTTTTTCAGTCACTTTCAATCTAAAGATTTTTCATAATGGCATGATGATATTAATGTGTATCTTCTTAACCTCAATATTGTTCACAATATTTAGGCGGTTTGAGGGGAAGTTCCCCCACCACTTTTTTTGCTTAATGTATGCTGCAGCTGATTGACGTTTTGGCAAAACTCAGCTGTTAAGCTCAAGTGGAGAAGATAGATATCTTCCCTAAAACCGCAGACATTTTGTGAACAAAGTATAACAGTTTAGAATGGGTTAAAATGCCTTTAATAGCTTTTTTACTGTGGCCAGCGGTTTCTTTAACAACCTATTAACAAGACTAATTACATGCCCAATAATCATACTTTTTCAATTTTTGACCAGTAAAAAGCTTACTTTTTTGCCAGGACAACCTTTGACCCTTTTATTGCTATGCTAACAATGTCTATGCTGTCTAACCATCTATAGAAGATATTAAAAATTAAAAAAATACACATTTTTGAAATTTTAGAGTAAATTTTGAAATACCACTGTTGTAGGGTGGACAGAAGATGAGGTAGATGATTACAAGTCGCCAGAGATGGAAGTGTGTCGCAAGTCTTTGCCTCGCTACCGGCCTGATAGTCCTCTAGACCCGGCAGAGCTGGACATGCGTGAGCGGTTGGCACAACTGCAGCGGCTGTACAGAGAGAAACAGCGCGAACTGTCTAAACTCACTCCTCGCAAGAGTTTGTCCAGTGAAACCAGTAGCAGCAGTTCAGGTGGGTGCCAAATTAAATATATTTAGTCAGTTAGTATAGTCTCCCTTATCCTACCTACATGGGCTGCTGAAAGGTCCAATAAGTCTTCGGTGCGTAAGGAACAGGTACGATTTAAGAATAACAATGTACTTCTTTCAAATCATGTATCCGGATCATGTATTATGTTATTCGAATGATATATTCGTAATTTGATTTTCGACATACCAATCTATATGGGTTTGTCAAAATAATAGTTTGAAGTCAAAATTAGGTCTATATTTATATTTTGTGGGTTCAGGTTGCCCCAGCAAGAGAGGACCAGGTAGGCCTAGGAAGTCCAGTGGCACCAAACGTCCCCGCAGCCCCTCTCCCCCACCACAGCTGTCCCCGCCTGTGCTGGAGCCTTGGAACTTACCTCCGCCTACACTCACACCTCACAAGGCCTTTCACAAGGAGTCAGATGTGCAGCAGGTGAGATGCATGATTATTTAACTTTAAAGGCTTTAGAGTTAAATGCACCATATTTAAATAAGCTGTGTTTATTTGTGCACTTGGCACTATGACTGTTTTGTTTCATGTTTGAAAAGTTTATTCTGTTCAAAATAATAGATTGCTTGTTTTAGAAATCCTCCTGATAATAGGCCTACCAATGTACCGAATACTAAATAGTTAGGAGTGGCTACTTGACCATTGTGTTTACTCTGTTGAACAATTTTGGGAATCTCACAGCTAATCACTCTGTAAAATTAAAATTAATTAAATCATGTATTTCTTTATGTTTTCTTGTAGTTATTCTGACTTTAACTAAATGTAAATATATCTTTAAATTTTGTGTTAAAACAGTGTATTAACTGTTTTGTTTTGTTTGACAAAACATCAAATTATGCTTCAACAAACTTGGCAACTACATTACCGTTTTGGGACATTTGTTTGATAGGTTAAGTTGTTCACAGGTGGAGTGGGAGTTGGTGTCACCTAGCAAGTCACCCCCACCACTCTCCCCTGCGCAGTCTCCGTCATCGGCCAGTAAGAAGCGCAAGGTCGGCCGGCCTAAAAAGCGCGAGGACCACGCCAGTTTGACCATTGTTGCTAAGAAGCCTAGGAGCAAGAGTTCACTGGTTGGTCTGTTGCTGGCCAAGAAACATCTACCTGATCAGCAAGAGCAAAACCACTACAAGATCAAGCCTAAACTGAAGGCAGAGGTTAAGGTAAGTTTTACAACCACAAATAAAAATTAATTCACCTAACAATAACCTATAAAATGGTTAAACATGCTTTTTATAAGGTTATCATTCTCATATGAATAGTTAAGAGTACACTCTGGCTCAAGAAATACAAATAAAACTCTACACTCCTCTATTAAAGTTAAAATATTTATTTCGCTTTCATTTCTGATAGTATTTTCAACCAAGGAAGGCAATGTGGAAGGAACCTTTAAAGACATCTTTTATTCCAACTGAAACGTCCCTTGGTTTGAAATGTCTGTAACAGTGAAATATTCTAGATTTAGTGTGGAGTGTAACCTTGTGCCAGAGTGGACTCTTTCCCATTCAGGAAAGCCAATTATCATACAAACATTCTTAAAACCTAGGCTCTAGTGCTCACTATGTTACATCGTTAAATTCAAGTTTTATATAAGACTTACCTGAAATAAATACATTGAGCTCCCCCCACCACATGTTTTAACCTGTGTATTTAAATACATCTTCAACTATTAACGGCATAATGGGAGATTGACAACCTGAAAAATGAAGGTGTTATCGCTGTATTTTGGTGTCACTTTGTATCCGATCACATGTTATTTTCGGCATTGTCATGTGAAGACTTTAATAATCTTTTATCTACTGTTACTTTACCAGGTGAAGTCGTGGTGTGAGGACGAGGAAGCAGAATGGACAGCTCAGCCTCCCCGACGTCACAGTGCCCCTGCATCCCCTCCCCCTCTCTCACCTACCCCCGGACGACCTGTCAAGAGCAAGAGTCTGCCTACACCGTACAAGACACCTCACAAGAAGCCCATCATGGTGCTGGCCAAGCGTAAGCGGGCGGTGAGCACGGAACAGCCTGCCACACAGAAGACTACGTCTCCACAGCCGATGCATGCACAGGGTGAGCCATTATAACAAAACACATTAGATGAATTGCCGTTGAAATTGTTTACAATATCTTGTTAATGTTAGTTTGAAATTACTCCATTGATTAATTTTAAAGCACAATACCTTTCCTAGAAAGAAAGGAATACTGAACATAAAAAGTGTATATCAGCATACTTGTAGGTTGTTTACTTGCCATGACCATTAAAGAGGCACCTCAGCACCTCAGCCAAACAGACCAATGCACATAATATTGTACCACAAAGGCAGACATTTGTGGCTGGACTGTCCAGTTTTAACCAGAGAAGGTTGAAATTCCTAGGAAAGGTGACCATGAGACTAAAGGAAAAAGATTTGGGTGTTCTAAAGCTTGCAAAATTTGCCAAAAGCCTTTGGCTGTAGACTGAGCTAAGGGGTGCTAAAGGATGTTGATTTGCTTTTGTGTGTTTACTCAATCAATCAACCCTATAAGACAGCACGCACACTTGAGCGCATTTTAAACTGTATATGATGAATGCAGGGAGATTGAGATGACCTGTGTAGTCATCTGCGACATGTTTCGTAGGTGTAGTGAGCTGCATGTTGACCTCTGACCACTTGGCTGACCTACCTTGTAGAGTGTTGGTCACTATGGGTGGTTTGCTCTATGCTGGTACGCTGTCTGCTATACGACCTCCTGACCTCTATGGCACCATGCTGGACGGGGAGAGAGGCAACCGGCCGCACATACTGTCACGGGAGGAGATTCTCAAAGATGCGGTACTTTTCATGAAGATTTACATACACAATATACTATCAGGAATTAGAGTCTAGTTAATTTACTTAAGTGTAGACTTCAAAAAATTGCATATAAACGTTCTGTCTCTGTTCCAATAATTTGCACCACTTAAATGTTTTTAAAACTTAACTTCTTTGGCTTTGTGCAAACCCCTTTTATGAAATTGATGTGTTCAACCAGAAAAGTAATCAATGAAGTTTAATAAATTTGATTGTCAATCCTATTTGTTGAATTTGTGGATTTTTCCATGAAAATAATTATCAGATGTTAATGTACATTTTAACTAATTTGTTTTACTCTGCTGAGTAGGCTATTGCTGTAGATTGCAATTGTTAACTTTACATACAACCATGTGGATCCAGAATCCTCTGTCTTCTGCCAGCTCCAGGTCTGCTCCCATACTCCTTAGGTCCTTTGTTACCTCGTCAACCCATCGCATCCTTGGTCTTCCCAATGGTCTCCTGCCCTCCGGAGTACCTCTTATCACTTTCTTTACTATCTCTTTCCCACTTTATTGCAGTATTAATAAAAACAAATACCACATTTAAGTAATATTAGACTTTTCATGGTATGCATCTGTGATTGTAGATCCTGGAGGTGTGTACAGACGTAGTACCGCCGCCGGGCACGCGAGTGTGTGCGTACTGGTCACAACAGTACAGGTGTCTTTACCCAGGGACTGTACCTCCGACAACCGAGGAGGCGGACCCGAGGTTTGTCTCAGTGGAGTTTGACGACGGTGACAACGGCAGAATCAGCTTGGAGGACATCAGACTATTGCCGCAAGACTACCCGGTCGTAGGTAAGTCACATAGAGTTATAAAGTTGTTACTTACGTTTGATCGGAGGGACTTATTGCCTGAGAATGAAGGAGACAAAGGACATGATAAGCAGACTTGCCTTAACATTTGTAGGTATCCCACAACACTAAAGTAACACTGAATATTCAAGGCCAGTGGCCCTTTTTCAACAATGAAAGTCACTATATTCTGGATTCCTTCACATGTAAAGGAAAAGAAAAGTTGTTACACAAGCTGTGAAACATAAGGTTGTCACAAGTAAATCATGCTGCAATATTTGGTTTAGGAATTTGCTACGGATTGAACTAGGCATTTCGTTTCGCATGTTAAGTATTTTGCCAGTTCTAAATTTAAAAGGGACTTTGTTTAATTGATTCACTGTCAGAGTGTGCTAATGTAAATTACTTAATTACTTTTAAACTATGCCAAGAGGATGAATTACTGTTTACCCCTGCTGCAGCAAACTTGCCGACTAAGCAAATTTCCATTTGTCTGAATTGATTTTCAATTTAATCTACTTAAATTACATTGGTTTAACGAGTACCTAGGTTTGCTGCTACAAGGAAACTAATAAAGTGTGTTTTCTAGTAAAATATTAATAGCTTAGTATAAGATAAATAAATTTGCCAAGTTTTATGAAATATATCCATAAACAAGCAAACAATATTTTTCAAGTTATCGTGTTCACAGACACATTCATAACTCTAAAATGTTATTGACTTTAATCACTAAAAAAATATTGCTATAGTTAGAGCAATCAGCTCCGTTCACAAAATTTAGTCGGTTTGAGGGGAAGTTCCCTCACCACTTATTTTTATATCTAAATGTGATAAATCACTAAACTGAAGTGTATTTTTCAGCTTACGATCCGAATCCGCTTCAAACGCTTGGTAAAAGACGACGAAGAAACTCAGGTGCTAGCTGCGACAGTCAGAGTAAAGACAAGACTGTACAGGTTGGTGTGCATAACTTGTCGATTAGCATAGGGTGTGTGTTGGTGCCTGATGATGACTGGTTGGACAAGGCCTTTAATTATTTACAGTTTTGGTACTAATACATAGAGTCATATTGGGAAAAGTCTTTTAATATATACATTAAAAAATATTCCAGTAGGCCAACGGATGGTTTGGTAAGAACCCTTAAAATAATATTAAATAACTCCTTAATGAATAAAAGGTTAAATTACCTATGTACACCAGTCGATCCTGATGTATCCTATAAGAGGAGATGCGTTTCGGTGAAATTAATTCGCCGTCATTAGTCCTTCGTCGTCTTCAAGGTCTTGAGCTTCCCATTAGGTGGGTCTTGAAGTTTTGGAGACACATATACAAACTTTACACTTACACATGACAAATAAAACACATAAATACATGGTAGGCCTACTTTTATTTTTATAAGGGACTTGTAGACACACGTCGGTCGTGTGTCGAGTCTCCAAAACTTCAAGACGCACCTAATGGGGAAGCTCAAGACTTTAGTGGGACTGATGATGGCGATTTAATTTTGCCAAACAAAATGCATCTCCTGTAATAGGATACATCAGGATCAACTGGCGGAAACAGGTAAATTAACCTTTAATTGATTGTCACACCGATCCAGAACAACAACAAACAATATAAAATGTAACTCTTTAGCTTTTAAACAACATTAACAGGGTTTTTAGTCAAGTTTTATGCAGAAATATTCAAATTAAATGAAAAGCAAGAAGATTAATATAATAAGTGGTTACTATTAAAGAATGAAGTAAAAGAGGAAAGACTTTCACAAGCTTTTTTGGATTTTTATTGTTGACTGTAACAGTTGTTTATTTAGTTTTCTTGTAATGGTTACAATATTCAAAGCAAATTAGACAATAAAGAGTTTGTTATTCTCAATACTATGTCAATTATTATATTTGGATTGAATCAATAATTACATTTTTTTAAAGTAAGAGATCTTGCAAATCTCAAGTTTTAGTATATGATTAAAAATTAATTTTAGTGGAAATATTAGGGAGGTTTTATGTTCAGATTATTTTGTTTTTATCTGATGTTGATCGAATTACTTAGCATTTTCAATCATTCTACACCCTTTTCATATATTTTTTTAAACGTTAACTTAAATATCCATTTAAATTAAGTAGTAATAAGTAATATAAGAAATTATGTCAATTCAATACAATTTTCAGCCTATGGAAACTGTCACTGAGTTGGAACCTGAGAACGAACCTGATGTAGAACAAGAACCATCGGAAATGGAACAAATGGAAGAACAGGAACAGCAAACTGTTCCGCTTGAGGAACCTTTGACAGAATTAGCAGAACAGCCAAGAGTTGTAGCTCCATTGGTGATGTCTTCAGAACAGCTTCCCATGAATCTGGAGGTACAGTCAATGTATAAGCTATTATTTAGAATACTTTTAAGGGTCTTAATCCCATTTTCTTACTACAATATTTCATTTTTGATTTCTTTATAACACACCAGAGGACAACAGCCAAGTTGAACTGCTAATTTGTTCACATTATATTAACAACTATAATGAAAACAAGAGTACGACTATGATGAGATTGGTGGTTTTTAAGTACTTGTTCTGGCACTTTATCAGAAAACCAATACAGCCAGGAAACCAAATTTGTAAATTAGCACTCGCATTAAAAACCCCTTAGGTGTGTTTTTTTTATCTTTTACATTCTGTTGACTAGCATAGTTACAAAATCGAGTAAAATACTATATTAAAACAAATTCATTTTCATAAAACATTTTTATTTTGTGAATCATATTATTAGTTTTGAGTAGGCCTACTCGATTTAATCATAACCAATTAAGGTGGTTTTCAAAGAAGAAGGTATTCACTATGCTAAAGATGTTATTTGAGTACAAATAACCACATTGAATAGAAACACAATTGGATGGTTTGTAACAAGGTCATTTCATGCAGGTGGCTGATTTGGAAAGGGAACGAAGAAGACTGAAGAAGAAACGCAAAGAGAAGTTAAGAAGACTCGACAGTGAGAAGAAACATAGGCACAAACACCATGATTGTCTCAAGACCCACAGGCATAAGCATAAGCATAGACACCACAGGCACAAGCATAGGCATTCCAAGAATATAGGTTAGAACAGGATAAATAAACTAATGTTAATATACACTGAGAACTCACTAGATAGACATAAGCTTTATTCATTGCTTGACAAGCATTATTAAGCTAGCTTGCTTTTGCAGACCACTACAGTACCTAATGTGAGAAAAGGATCAGTGCTGGATGTGAGACGTAGGAATTGGCTAACTCAGGAACTCGCTAACTCGGTCGTGAATCGGAACTGGCTAACTCTGGAACTAGCTAACCGTCTCAGTCAGGAATTGGCTAACTCCGGAACCCGCTAACTCGATTTTGTCTCGCGGCGGAAGTCGCTAACCCGGCCGCGCCCACTGCACGGAGCGTTGCCAACCTTGTACGACGAAATAATCTTACACTGCCGTATTTCAAAATCAGTGTCAATGAAGATACAGTAAAATGTTATTGTTGTTTGTTATCCAATTCCACTTTTAACAGCTAACTAGCCCAAAGTAACTAAAAGGTGATTTTAAAAAAATCATGAAAAAGTATTTTTAATTTAACTGTACAACGGCCAATTAAATGTTTATGATTTCGATCTTAAATATAAATGCTATCAGTATTATAGGACAATAATAGAATATGAAAATTATTGAACATTCAGTTTAAATAGTACCAAACACTTAAACCTCTATGAAATTAAGCTCAAATACACGCAAGTTCTCAAACACGGAAAACAAATTTAATCGTAATTTCGTATTAAACCAAAACCATTAATTAATACAATCATCAACCATCGTAACTTTCATACTAATTTATAGATTTAAAATTAGGTACGTCGTTGAATCGTCCATCCTACGTGTAAAAATATGACATAGACTACGTTTAATATCAATTCATAGCTAGAATAGCTCGGTAGGCCTAAATCTATGCCTAATAGTTTAAACCAAAGCATTGTAGGCCTACTAGTAAACAGTTGCCTAATTCTAAAATGTATTTTATTTTTTAGTAATGATGTTACATGTTTTAATAACATTTCTTAGATTGTACACCTAAGCCCCACTACTAAATAATAGAAGAAGATATAATATTATTATATATTAAAACGTGACAGGGTTATTTTAATTCACGATTCTTAATCAACGACTTGATCGATTTTCCTGACGTTAGTGTTAGGGTTCCTTTATTTTGCTTTACAATAAAAACAAACTATACCAAGCCATTGCTCGGGTCCCCGTTCCCCAGTACTGAGCTACTCAATAGACAATAGCTTTGTTGTTGTATAAGATCAGAACCATAAAAACTCCAGACTTTTTAAAAGTTGTCCTACCGAAAGACGTAAAAGTAATATTAATTAAACAAAGTTAAGAGGATGACCCAGGTTAGCCTACGATAACAGAAATTTAAAAATTGTATTTATGCATAGACTAATTTTTAATGCAATCCATGAATACATTGCCACTTTAAAATGTATTGATCAATATTTATTTAAAGTCAATAGCTCTATTTAAAAATATATTACCACTACAATGTATTTCTGTAATGACCTCGTTAAACCAAATAAAACGTTCTAATCGTAACTAACAACACGTCCCCTAGGTATATAACCAAACAGCACAGAACAAATAAATCATGAAGTTAAACTATAAAATAATAGAAACACAATTTTGTCGTCACTAGCGATCAGTGTCACCGGACATGAACTAGACACGAAAAACGAGCTTCAAAGTTTACAATGGGATGTAAAGTTTACTTGTGTTGATTAGTCTATGGAAAGACTATAATGCATTTTCCACTCTAATAATCATAAGAATAATATTAAACATACTTCTAAATATATTTATTTTATCGACTACGTTGCTCTCACTCCTAATTATTCGTAGGATACGACCATAGATTAAACATACTCATCAAGATACGACATTATGGTACTACACTTTCGGCAACACTGGCCAAAAATGTTCGTGCTTGGATCCCATTGGACGGCGCGCGAGGCTTCTGATTGGGATTTAGTGAGTTCCGCCGAGGGACCGAGTTTGCGACTTCCGGCTCTAGAGCGGGTTAGCGGGTTCCGGAGTTAGCCAATTCCAAAACCGAACAAGTTAGCGAGTTCCTCTCATCGACCGAATTTTAAGATAGGACGTTTAACATGGGGTTAGCAATTTCCAGAGTTAGCCAATTCCGCGGACCCCTGGATGTGCATAACCGTATTGTATTCTTGTAAAATAGATCCAGTGCTTTACTGAGCGATGTGAGACTAAACATTAATAATGGTGTAAGGGGAAGCCCATCAGCCAATTTTGTTTTGGAAAAGTATATAGTTCAGCTAGCTTAGAAAATTAGAGCCTAGGTACTTATAGATTCACAAATAAGGTCTCACAATACTTACATTTTGTCTTTATAGGACTTCTTCAGAGAATAGAGTAGGCTACATTGAGGAGCAAACATTGAGGAGAAAATAATTTACCCATAAGTCTTTTCTCTGGAAAATTCAAACCAGAGTGGAATATTAGTGTTTAACTAGCAAACCTGGCGCACATAATCGTGCACAATTTAGACATAGGAAAAGAAGGAAAAGGATGGTTCAAGATGGTAAAAGGCCTAATTGAGTTTGCAGTTTACATGCCGTTTTTGCAGTTTTTTTTAAAGTCAGTAAAAGATTCTCTTTTGATTAATTGATGATAACCTAAATGATAAACCAAAGGTTCCCACCACCACCTCTGGCTGAAGTCTGGGACTTATTTCCCAGACCGATCCCCGTGAAAATCTTCTTTCTTCTTCTTAGGCCACTTTCAATCCTCGTCCAGAAACTATTTGTCCAGAAACTATTTGTCCAAACCCCTAGCAGCACGGCTCCCTTACCCCTACCGCCCTGAGCAATAGGGATCATTGGGATTCGCTCTAGTCCTCCCTCACCCTTCATGGTGAATTTTTCATTCCTTTTCTTTCTTTGTTTTGTTTGTTTCTTTTTTCAATTTAAAGCCCTGTATGTATCCTTGGTTCTTCCTATTTCCCTAGCTACTTTCCTAAACGTCTAAATTGTTTCCTTGTCTCTCATCTCAAGACCTTTCCTATCCAAGACTTCTTCCTGTTCTCTCCTATTTGCCTCCTAAAGTAGACAATTCATCAATATGTGACTCGTGGTCTCAATTTTTGCGCAGATGCATACTCTTCCACCAAGTTAAAGCTTCACAAATCGATCAACAACAGTAGTATTATTTGTATTTCGTTCGCGTCTACCAGTTAAAGTTCGTCGGCCTCCTCCTATTGGCCGTCCAGGTCGACGTTTTATAGTCTCCATTATGTGGAACGTTTTTGAAGGTTATGTTTTGATTATGTGCAAATAAAAACTGATTTAAAACAGTGAAACATAAATCCTTGTAGCACATGTCTCCAATTTTAGTATAACCAGCTGTTTCAAATATTAGTGTCAATTTCAAGTATCCATCTGTTCAAATGTAAACAAACATTTTCTCCCTAAGAATAACATGGGAACTTTAAAGGCCACTGGGGCAGAGCCCTGATGGAATTCCAAAGTTATTTTGTTGGATGGCAAAACTACATGCTAAGACCTTTCTAACGACACCTTGGACATGGTGATTGGTAGCACCACCGCTCCAAAACAATTATGACAAAAATATGCCTAGCGTATTAAATATATAGATTGTTGAATTTTTTATACATCTGCAAGCTGATTTGATTTCCTTTAGACTAGATTCAACAATTATCACTTTAAAAAAAAATCTTAACATGGATCTAACGGTGTATGGTGGCAGCCAATTCTTAGCATTGCTTGACATCCTTCTTAACAACTGGTATAACTGTCTTTTAGTTATTGCTGCCATGCATGAGGTATTAAGACTGAGGAATGTTGTTTCAGTATCAGTGATTTCTGAGAGTGGAAGTCATGTGGAGGAGAAGAAGCCACTAACTCTTGTCGTCCACACCAAGCCTGCAGCAGACGGCAACAGTCCTCCAATTGTGTCAACAATCAAGATAAAGGTTAGTCAAATAACTATTACAGTGACTCATCAGTCACAGATGTTACTGTGGTAGATTGATCCTTCATAAATCCAGATTATTCTACCAAATTATCTCTAATGAGATTGAAAACTGAGCGAAGAATTTACAATTCAAATTCGCTAGCAAAACTATATGTTGATTTGATTCTAAACCATCCTTGTATTGGATTATAGTTGTGAATTATTTTCTGTCTGGTCTTTAATTCTTTATCGTCCAATTACAGAAAGACAAGAAGCGAGCTAGATCCCATGCTGTGACGCATGACAGTACGACTCCCCGGAGCAAGATGGCCGCTTTCTTGCCAGCCAGACAGCTGTGGGGCTGGAGCGGAAAACCCTACAAGAGACCAGGAATGAAGGGAAGGGCTCGCAAGGAGTTCTACAAAACTATCCAGCGGGGCAAGGAGACCATCTCTGTAAGCATTCATCTGCCATACTTAAAAACGTTCTTAGGGTTTTTAAAATTTTAGTCAGGATTACAGAAGAGTCTCAATTATTTGACCTAAACTAGCAGCAGCGAGGTTAAATAAGCGTAAAAGCTAGATAGTAAAAAAAAAAATCAAACACATTAAATTGAAGTTTGTCTTTTGTTAAATCGATTCATGGCTATAGGTTTATCTTCGACTTTGATCAATACCTTTTTTTTAATGCATCATCACAAACAAATAAATAAAAAATAACACTACTACTAAAACATGCAAGTGCCTACAGCCAGGTGAGGACAGTCAGGGGTGGCTCAAGAGGTTGCTTTGATGAACCTGCTATTGTGTAAAATCATACTACACGCAAACAGTGTGTTATTTCATGGCAATATTCTGCAGGAAGGGTCTTATGATGGAAGATTATGTAACCAAAGATCAGATCATTTAGACCACTGTATCAACATAGTGGTGCTTTTAAAGAAAACCGAAGAAATTGTCTGCAGCGCACAAACACGATCATAATTCTTTTCCTACAAATTCCAACATATCGTTTGTTTTCACATCCTTCATAATCTGTACTGGGAGACTAGCTGATGATGTTGTTGTCTCAGGTGGGCGACTGTGCCGTGTTTCTGTCCACTGGTCGTCCAGACAGACCCTACATCGGACGTATCGAGGCTATGTGGGAGAACCGGTTTCAGACAATGGTGGTCAAAGTGAGATGGTTCTACCACCCGGAGGAGACAGTTGGTTGTCCGGAAAAGCTGCCTTATCCAGTAAGTGCTCCTAGGTGGTGTTTGGGTCTTATGTACTTACCCTTGTTTTGTGATTGTACTGTTTAAAGAGTTAAACGTGAGGTGATTCATGCAAAAAATTTAAAATTATTCTATAAACAAGGGGGTCGTCCTTGGAATTGTCTTGTAAGATTTACATTAAAACGTCGTTTGTTATAGTCACAACATAATGAAATTGTATTTTGATTATTACCCAAGAGTACAGGAAGTCTTCTCCATATATTGTGGCAGATGTGTTCAGGTAAAGTGCCTTGAAAAGCAAAACTACTTTAAACAAGGACTATTTATGGGCTGCTACTGTCAGTGAATTGTAACTCCTTTCAACAAGAAACAAGCTTCTTTCTAGTGTTACCTATGTGATACTGTAATAGTAGTTTACGCAACTCGCTCGTACCTTAAAAATGTCTACGAGTGTCGTTAACACTATTTACGCGAGTAAAACTATGCTGTTATGTAAGTAAACAATGCTCTTGTGTGAAAATGTTCAATTCTAATAACTGAACTGAAGCGGCTATTTTAAAAACGGCCGTAGGTAAAAAAACTAACAGTTTTAAGCAAAATAAAAACCACAGCTGTGCCGTACGTTAAAAAAAAGTTTAATCCACGGTAGATCCTAGATAGAGTGAGTTTTTTTATGTGAATCTGTTCAAACTAGGTCGCTAATTACCAGCGGCTGAAATGAAATTTTGAAATCATCACTCGTGACAGATTATACAAGGTTGGTTGTGTTCCAGGGAGCTTTGTTTGAGTCACCACACAATGATGAGAACGATGTGCAGACCATATCTCACAAGTGTGAAGTGCTGCCACTACCCGAGTACAAGCATCGGCTGGAGCTAGAGCCGCACAGACTGGCCACTATCTACGACTACAACGACATCTACTACCTGGCGGGCCACTACAACCCGACCGATCTGTCACTCAAGTTTGAACCTGGTGTTGTGTAGCACTCTAGTACCTGGACTGGGTGATAGCACTTTCAATCATGTTCATCTTGTTACTATATTGTTTTGATTGTTTATTTAATAAGTTATTTGTAGGGATTTTTCAGTGCCATGAGTTTTCAGGCTCGCTACGCAAGCTGTGCAGTCAGCTGGGTAGATGAGGAGTGAAAGTTAAGTCACTTAGGTCAGTCAGTGGTTACCATTCAAGGAAAGTCAAGGGTGCGGTCACAAATAAATCGAGTGTCTCCATGTGTGAGAATAACCTACACCTAAGTGCCGGAGTTGATTAAATTGGCAATGTTTTTGCTAAAAAAAACCATTTATTTAAAAGAAGCGCTGAAATAGTGAAACAATATTCTTGACCTAAGCGGCCAGACAAAATATATTCACACAACATAAATCAGTTTTGATAAAAGTGTTAGCACCCAGCAATGTCCCCTTGTACTCCTCAAAGGAGTATAAAGGGTTTTCACATTGTACATATACTAACGTTGTATTAATGTTAGCGATAAGTTTAAGTGATAGTAACCCTAGGGGTGGTCTCTAATGTTTTTGAGGCGAGAAGTCAATTCGAAAACATTTTTAAGATGCACACCTTACATCTTGTTTGGAAAGTAAATTTGCTTGTTTATCTGTTTAAAAGTTGTGTAGTTTGGGATCTTATGGATAAAAAAAAAAACAAATAATTATCTTTGTTACCAACAAAATAGTACTTACTTGTTGTTTTTGTTAGTAGAAAGTCATTCATTTACTGTTGTCCCCAAAGATAACAATTAACTTTGTTACTTTTTTTACTTCTGTAACAACTGTAAGTGTTTGCATCTGAGTAAAATTATAAGTAGGGGAAACGAATCTGTGATTATAAATAAGGCTAAGATATTTTCTAGACCACCCTTTTGCTGTATATATCTGTTTGTCTTCCTTGTAAGAGTATATATTTCAAACTTCAATTTCTTTTTCTTTTATTCTTCTATATGCTATTTAACTCTTGTGCTGTGAGAAAGTCTTTTTTACCTACTGTTATGTATTTTTCTGTAGATTTGTTAAAGGATGAGTAACTATTTTTTAAATAGTTTTTACAAATTTTATGATTGGGAATTACACTTGTTCGATAAACTCTCACAATTTTATTTATCATAACACACTAAAAAGTAATTTAAGGAAACCCAATAAACTTGTACATTAATATTAAATTACAATAACTTTTACACATACAAATCTGTGAATTTATTTTCTTTTTTATAATTTGTACAAAATTGGTTATTTTTAAATCGTACTTAGAAGTATATCCACCAAGAATTGGTATACAATATATAAAACTTAGGAACTTATAGATACATACAGATATTTCAGAGAGTTTATTGTACTGAGAAATAATTCCTTACATAATTACAACTTTTCAATTTTCTTAACTTTTTTAGCTTAAGTTCAACTCTGAACAAACGTACCTAGATTGTGTATTTTTTTTACTTCAATGAGCATTATTTAAAGACTGGCAGACATCTTGTGTTTCAAATTGTTCGTTATTATTTCTTCTTATTGTTATGTACCTGTGTCTGTTTCGTTATCTATCTTTTGTATTTTATGTGATTGTTATGTAATGTATATACATATATTTTCTGTATACGACCTGTAAGTATGTATTAAGGTCGATTCACACACATCAGTCCAGTCACAGTTCAGTCTCAGTTGCATCCGCAATTCCTCAGTCAACTGTCCATCAGTTGGACTCAGTCAGTCTTGCGTCACTTTATTTACAGTGATGTTACAGTCAAGAATTTTTCAATTAAAAAACAGTATTCTATAAATTTATCATAGTCCATCTTGTTAGTTGTTACAAACAGTACTTAAAATCAAATATTTTTTTATATCAAACACATACATTACATGTCCGTCAGGCGTCTGAACAATGCCAAAATATCTGTGGGAAAAATCTGAAATCGACTGACGGACACCAGTAGAGCAACTGAAAGACCTGGAACGCATGGGTGTAGATAACGCAAAATAAAATCGATTAAATAATAAATTTGTTGACTTTGACGTAATGATTCAACTGAACTATGACAGGCTGGAACTGAGTGTGTGTGAATCAACCTTTAGATGTAAAAAGCTTGTGGAGAGACGAAACGTTTGCCTCGGTGACTTACGATGTGCCTAGTTTTTCTTCTTCTTGATTTTCTATTTTTGTACCGAGGAGGGATGTATTTTTTATGCGAGTGAGGTGATTACTATTAAGGTATATTAATGCAAATACACACTTTGCTTTAGAAATAGTCATTAGATGTTCATTTTCTACATCATTGCAGAACAAAAGCAATAATTTCCATCTCATTTATCACTGAAGTTAATGTTTAAAAAATAGCAACTAAAAATTGTCAAGCTTGGTTTAGTTGGAATTTTATTTTGAAAATGCAAAAGTGAAATTTTGGTCAATGTTTGTTTGGTGCTTGCAATTAATTTTAAATACCAACAAAAGTTGTTTATATACAATAATTTTAAATGAATGCTTAACACAACGAATGATTCATTGGGATGTGCACATACTTCGGAAGTACTGTTTTCTAAATTAAGTAAAGTCATATTCTGATATTTTTAACTAAATTTATTTTAACGCTGGAATCTTCTGCTTAACTCTTTTGAAGTTTATATTATGACCCTTCAGATTATCAATTATTAATTAATTTATAATAGATAACCTATTTTAAATTTGATAAATTGCAGTTAATTTAAATACAGTGTAACACCTAAATCAAATGTTTAAACAATCAAAACTGTTGCCCAAAAGCACAAGTTATCAATAATGTATTTGTTTTTTAACTATTGTAATTCGGGATTAAATAAACAATTCATGACAAGTTTCTAAATAAGTACTAAAAAAAGAAGACAATAATTGTATGTGACAGATACAACAACAGATTACAAGTTATCTTTACAAGTACCTTTTTTGTTCTGGGATTAAAACATGCTTCCAAAGTGTATACAAAACTGTGTGTATCACTACATACAAAGTAGCAAAGTAATTTATCTTTTAAAATGTCCTCTCATCTCTGGTGAAATATATCATCTCTGTTTTATATTAACCATCAATGGCCAGCTAAAACTTTCTGTTGTTATTGTTAATATATCTCTAAGGCAAATGTTATTAAACCACAACATAATATTATTTCTGTTTGCATTTAATGAGCCATTTAATAAATATTTGATTGTCAGTCAAAGTTTGCAATGTTTTTCGCAGGTATTGTAGTTGTACCAGTTCATCAATCAAAATAAAAATAAAAACCTTACGTTCTAGGAATCAATATTTTTCGCTTTGTAAATTGTCACTCAGTGTTTTTATACTAGACAGGGTTCAGTGTTAGGTTTTGTCCAAGTTTAGTGCTACGTTTCCTTATAATGGAGTCCTTACTACTAATGTAGAAATGTCGCTTTAACTATTTTAGTTTTAAGTAAAATCTTGACTCAAGGGAACTCTTAATTATTTGAATTTGATTTAAATATCAGCTTTAGATTTTGGCAGGGATATTGTATTTAAAAATTGTCTGTACATTATTTATTTATTTAAATTGTTGTTGTAAAATCATTTGTTTGGTTTTTTGTACAAAATTGTAAAAATTCGGTTAAAATAATTTTTGTAAATAATTCAGATGAGTATTTTTGACATGGAGACTTGGGCAAATATTTTTCAATCTAAATGTGTATTTTTGAACATATTATAGGATTCACAAATCGTCGTTAGGTCTGAACAGTTTAGTAGAGTGATGATTATTTTATTTTTAACACCGAGTTAAGTTGCTTTCCCATCTGTTAGTTAGTACATCTTTAATATTGGATACGCTTATGACTAGGATAGGGTGACATTTGTTTATTTATTGATATAATAAATAAACAAACAAGGAGCGAACTGGTAAAACAAGAATATTTTTCTGCGTAATGTGTAAAAAATAAAATGTGCAAATGTAAAGTGAAAAATATTTTTGTTTTGAAAGAATAAAATCAAAAGGTGCTATTTACATGTGCTTTTATTATATTCCTTCCAATCACCCTGTGCAATAATTAATCTAAACCCATTGATTTTGTCGTAGAGTTTTGTTTTGTATATTCAAAAGTGTAAGTCAAGAAAATACTCAGGTACTTATCAGTGGTGTAGTGGGGTGGGAATATGTGGAACCCACTGTGCTTTTTCTAAAGAACATTTAAATTGTAGAAAAAGGAGGATAGCAGCTAGCTTACCTTGAAAGTGTGGGTAGGCCATAGAACAAGTAGAAAAACACTGCACACAATTTTTCGTCCCCTAAGGGACTTTGTCAAGTGTAGAGAAAGAGTTTATAAATTACAAAATGGCTGCTGTCATGGCTGTGGTCAACTATGCAGGGTTGCCACATCTCATTAGTCTATTTACAACTATGTACACAACTTTATATACACACACACATATCATATTTTATATACAAACTAGGCCTATTATGTATTTAGCTAGCTGCTGGGACAGGTTTGTCTTAGGTTATGGTTGGGGGGAGTTCTGGAGTTGGTTATATACTGGAATGCCAGTTCCCACCTTCTTAACATTGGAGGGTTGCATTCACCCTTCGGAAGTGATTTATTACTTTTGTTGTGAAGCAACTATCAAAGTCCATGTTGTGATTGTTGGCATTGTGAGCATAGTGTTTTTCTACTTGTTCTATGGCCTACCGGCCTACCCACACTTTCAAGGTAAGCTAGCTGCAGGTATGTGAAGCTGGCAGCGCCCATATTTAAAATAAACTTCAAAATAACCTAAATTGTTTGTTTATTGTTTGTTTAGGTTTGTTTAGCTATTTTTGACGTTTGTTTGGCCTAAGTTGCTTTTAAAAACGAAAAATAAAGTGGGCGCTGCTAGCTTCACACCAGCAGCGCCCATTCGTCGTTTTGAGCTAAAAACCATTGAAATATATTGTTTATCGTTTGTTTAGGTTTGTTTAGCTATTTTCGTCGTTTATTTGGCCTTATTTGCTTTAGAATTAGGAAAAAAGTGGTCGCTGCTGGTATGAAGCTAGCAGCGCCCATTCGTCGTTTTGAGTTAAAAACCATTGAAATAGATTGTTTATCGTTTGTTTAGGTTTGTTTAGCTATTTTCGTCATTTGAAAATAGAAAATAGATAAACAAACCTAAACGATAGTTTAGGTTTGTTTATCTATTTTCTTCGTTTGTTTGGCCTTAGTTGCTTTAGAATTAGAAAAAAAGTGTATAAATCCAAGTATGAAACAATCTAAAACCAAGCTTAAAACAAGTTAAAACTAAGCTTAAAACCAAGTTTAAAACAAGCTAAAACCAAGCTTAAAACAAGTTTAAACTAAGCTTAAAACAAGCTAAAACCAAGTTTAAAACAAGCTAAAACCAAGCTATAAACCAAGCTTAAAACAAGCTTAAACCAAGCTTAAAACAAGCTAAAACCAAGTTTAAAACAATCTAAAAACCAAGCTTAAACAAGTTTAAACCAAGATTAAAACGAGCTTAAACCAAGCTTTAAACAAGCTAAAACCAAGCCTAAAACAAGCTAAAGCCAAGCTTAAAACTAGCTCAAACTAAGCTTAAAACAAACTAAAACCAAGCTTAAAACCAGCTAAAACCAAGCTTTAAACAAGCTGAAACCAAGTTTAACCCTTCGCGGACGGGTGACGGATATATCCGCCTAAGTCTTTGGCGATAAAGGACGGGTGGCGGATATATCCGCTTATGGTTTTTGATGTTCCGGACGGGAAGCGGATATATCCGCCTTCTCTTCAGACAAACTGACAGGTGCTTGAGCAGTAAACAGATGTTTCGAGGTACCAAGGCACCACTTTCCTGCTCTCTCCATGGCTGCGCTCTCTCCTGCACTCCCTTCTCTCTCTTTCACGCCTACCCCTCTCCCACGCCTCCCCTTCTCCCGCGCACCCACCTCTCCTACTCGACGTTTCGACGACGCAGCCCCCTCCACGTTTCGTGCTCAATACTATGTTATCTTTATTTATTGTTCATATTATTCTTTATTTATTGCCTAACGTTGTCATAGTCATATCTTCAAAGACGGGTGGCGGATATATCCGCTGCTTTCCTACTCATCCGCGGACGGGTAGTGGATATACAGTACCGCATAGTTAAAAACGAGTATAAAATCATTTTGACAGTATGAAGTGTTCCATTGTGTTTATTTTACGTATACTTGTATAACAAAACACAAATAAAGAAAATTAATTTTTATTTTTTCCTAAAAAAAATTCCGTTCTATGTCATGATTTCGCCCGTTCGGGAAGAGTTAAAACAAGCTAAAACCCATCTTAAACCAAGCTTAAAACAAGCTTATACCAAGCTTAAACCAATCTTAAAACAAAACTAAAACCAAGCTTAAACCTAGTTAAATCCAAACTAAAACTAGGCTACGACCAAGCTTAAAACCACCTTAAACCAAGCCTAAAACAAGCTAAGACCAAGCTTAAACAAGTTTAAACCAAGCTTGAAACAATCCTAATACAAGCTTAAAACAATCTTAAAACAAGCTTAATCCTAGTTAAATCCAAACTAAAACCAAGCTACAACCAAGCTTAAAACCATCTTAAACCAAGCTTAAAACAAGATAAGACCTAGCTAAAAAAAAAACAAAGCTAAAACGAACCTTAAAACAAGTTTAAACCAAGCTTATAACAAGCTTAAATTAAGCTTTAAACAAAATAAAACCAAACCTAAAACAAGCTGAAACCAAGCTTAAAACAAGCCTTAAACAAGCTAAAACCAAGCATAAAACAAGCTAAACCAAGTTTAAAACAATTTAAAAATCAAGTTTAAACTAAGCTTAAAACAAGCTTAAACCAAGTTCCAAACAAGCTAAAATCAAGTTTAATACAAGCTAAAACCAAGGTTAAACCCATCTTAAACCAAGCTTAAAACAAGCTTAAACCAATCTTTAAACAAGCTTAATCCTAGTTGAATCCAAACTTAAACCAAGCTTAAAACCATCTTAAACCAAGCTTAAAACAAGGTAAGGCCAAGCTAAAAAACAAAAAAACAAAGCTAAAACCAACCAAATAACAAGTTTAAACCAAGCTTAAAACAAAATAAAACCAAGCCTAAAACAAGCTAAAACCAAGCTTAAAACAAGCTAAAACCAGGCTTAAACTAAGCTTAAACCTAGTAAAATCCAATCTAAAACCAAGCTAAGACCAAACTTAAAACCATCTTAAACGAGCTAAAACCAAGCTTTAAACGAGCTAAAACCAAGCTTAAAACAAGCTAAAACAAAGCTTAAGACAATCTAAAACCAAGTTTAAAACAAGCTAAAACCAAACGAAAAGCTCTCTAAAAACAAACTAAAACCAAACTAAACCAAGCGAAAACCAAGTTGAAACCAAGTGTACTGTCTGTAAACTGATAATGTAGATTTTATTGTTCATCAGCTGGATTATTTGTTTGTGTTTGTGTGTTTTGATGGACTTAGAAAAAAAATTATTTTCTATTGTGTTAGTTTTAATTTATTATTTATAGTACACCAAACTAAAAACAAGCTTAAAACGAGCTTAAAACAAGCTAAAACCAAGATTAAAACAAGCTAAAACCAAGCTTAAAACAAGCTAAAACTAAGCTTAAAACGAGCTAAAACCAAGCTAAGACCAAGCTAAACACAGCTTAAAACAAGCTTAAACCAAGATTAAAACAAGCTAAAAACAAGCTTAAACCAAGCTTAAAACAAGCTAAAACAAGCTTAAAACAAGCTTAAACCAAGCTTAAAACAAGCTAAGACCGAGCTTAAAACCAGCTAAAACCAAGCGTAAAACAAGCTAAAACCAAGCTTAAAACGAGCTAAAACCAAGCTTAAACCAAGCTAAAACCAAGCTACAACCAAGCTTAATCCTAGCTAAAAACAAGCTTTAAGCAAGCTAAAATATAGCTTAAAACAAGCTTAAACCAAGCTTAAAACAAGCTAAGACCAAGCTTAAAACCAGCTAAAACCAAGCTTAAAACAAGCTAATTCCAAGCTAAAAAAAAAATAACAAAGCTAAAACCGAACTAAAAGCTTTCTAAAAACAAACTAAAACAAAACTAAGCCAAACTAGATCAGCTGGATTATTTGTTTGTGTTTGTGTGTTTTGATGGACTTAGAAAAACAATTATTTTTTATTGTGTTATTTTAATTTATCATTTAAATATATAGTACACCAAACAAAAAAAAAGCTTAGAACAAGCTTAAACCAAGCTTTAAACCAAGCTACAACCAAGCTTAATCCTAGCTAAAAACAAGCTTTAAGCAAGCTAAAATATAGCTTAAAACAAGCTTAAACCAAGCTTAAAACAAGCTAAGACCAAGCTTAAACCAAGCTAAAACCAAGCTATGACCAAGCTTAATCCTAGCTTAAATCAAGCTTAAAACAAGCTAAAACCAAACTTAAAACAAGCTAAAGCCAAGCTTAAAACAAGCTAAAGTCAAGCTTAAAACAAGCTAAAGCCAAGCTTAAAACAAGCTAATTCCAAGCTAAAAAAAAAATAACAAAGCTAAAACCGAACTAAAAGCTTTCTAAAAACAAACTAAAACAAAACTAAGCCAAACTAGATCAGCTGAATTATTTGTTTGTGTTTGTGTGTTTTGATGGACTTAGAAAAACAATTATTTTTTATTGTGTTATTTTAATTTATCATTTAAATATATAGTACACCAAACAAAAAAAAGCTTAGAACAAGCTTAAACCAAGCTTTAAACCAGCTAAAACCAAGCTTGAAACAAGCTTAAACCAAGTTTAAAACCAAACTAAAAACAAGCTTATAACAAGCTTATACCTAGCTTAAAACCAGCTAAAACCAAGCTTAAAACAAGCTTAAACCAAGCTTTGAACCAGCTAAAACCAAGCATAAAAAAGCTTAAACCAAGTCTAAAACAAGCTTAAAACGAGCTTAGAGCAAGCTTAAACCAAGCTAAAAAAAGCTAAAACCAAGATTAAAACGAGCTAAAACCAAGCTTAAACCAAGCTAAAACCAAGCTACAACCAAGCTTAATCCTAGCTA